TTTTTTTCACTTCCAATCCATGATTTTTATGTATTGAATTACAAACCATTGAATGACTAACATGGAAACCTAATATGTTATGCTTCTATAATAAATAAATAATTTGTGAGTCAACAAAATCGATCGAACATAGCTCAATTGATTAAGACATCTATTTTCGATAAAAATGTCGTAAGTTCGAATCCTCACTCCTACATATTATACTAAAAGAAAAAATAAATTTATGAGTCATACTTATGTTGTAATTCAGATTAATTAAGAAAACCATCCATTTATCGTTAATTGTTCAAAAAGAATATTACATTGAAACAACTCATAGTTGGATAAATTTTGACACGGGAAAAAACTCAGACACACAAAAAAAATCATATATCAAATAATGACTCATTTTTACTTATCATAAGAAAATCTTATATATATAATTTGATACAACCATAACCTAAGCGTTGCAGTGTGGGTCAGTAAGGTAACGACTCACTTAAACTTAATTTTCAATTCAATTAAAATGTTTCGAATTGATATATTTTTATTTTAGGAACTTTTCGATAAAGTTTAAAAGCTTTAATACATCCTTGTAGTAGGTTGTTCTTGTTAGGGGTATCAAAACCATATTTGTTATTTTACCCGTATTAGTCAAATTATCTAAGATTTTAGATACTAGAGATATGAGAATATGTAAACGTATTATAATACTTGTAGTATTTATATCTATAGAGATGAATGAACATTCATGACCACTTTATCCATAGAATTATTTTCTAAATATTTACCGTTATTACTTAAGGGATGTTTATTGTGTGACAAGCGTGTTTGTAATTGCTTGCACGCATTTATAATAATTTATCTAATTCTAATTATCTATCTATTTTTATGAAAAATAATTCGTTGCTATAATTATTATAGGTTGTTGATATGGTTCTCTTTGAATTGTGATTTATGTTCGTATATATATATATAAGTAAGACAATGAGGCGTAGAAACTTTGGAATGATACGGAAATAATGATTGTGAAGATCAAAGTTCCTCTCATGCATGTACTCAAAAGAAAAAGAAAACTCCTTTCATATAACCACTCCTAATAATGCATGATCTTCCTACTCACTCCTTATATTCATTAAAACCGAAAAGGTGATACAGAAAAAAGGTCTATCTTTAAGAGTTTATACATATATATAATATGGTATGATATAAGGAAGGGCATGTGAAGCATCAGAAATAATTGAGTTATCTTTCTATGTTCTTCAATACCGAATTTTGTGCCTATGCATAGGGCTATGACCAAATCTATGTTCTTAATACTTAAGTTTAAAAATTACATGGTCTCTTTTTTTTTTTTTTTTGAATTACATGTTTATTAAATTCTTACTGCCATACATATTATATGAATTGTGCTATGCTAAAAAAAACCTTCTAAAATGGGTCTTTAACCTCTCTTATTTGAAGCCCACTTAGACTCTGGATGGGCTGCCGAGATGTCGTGTCCAATAAGGTAACCTGGGCCTTAACCTCAGCACAAGCCCATTTCGCCGAAAAGATATTATCTTTTGACCTTTTGATTTTATTATTTTAGTTTTTAATTTTGTTTTTCCCACAAGGTCTTTTGAGCTGGAATCTTCAAACTCGCCCCGTCCCATGATTTGAGTGGCCCTCATTTCTTGGAAATTAGAATGTCTACAGTGTACTCCCCAGTTATTTGGGTTAATTGTTAACAACTTTATTTATTTACTTAATTTAAAAATTTCAATTAAATTAGTGAAACTAAAAAAAAATGGTATTCCAAGTATGTGAGAACTTATATCCCAAAAATAATTAGGATATAACAATTCAATGGATAAAATAGAGTTGAAATAAGTGTCGTTCAACCGAACTTGATTCAAAAAGAGAGGTTTTTTTAATCAAAAATAGGGTTGTGTTAAGTTATAAACTAATAGAAATCATATGATTCAACTTATTTTGACGTAACTTATCTCAAATTTATAATTTAACCAAATCTAATTTTGACTCATATGGTTTGAATTGAAGGAATCCAACTTGTATGATATGTCACTTTTTTAATTGGTTAAATATCTTGAAATCAGTGAGATTGAGCATTTAGACATCCTTATATTACATAGAGAATGTCGATGTTGGTAGGAATGTCGATGTCTCAATTCCATGAAAATATCGATAAAATGTCGATATCTATTGTAGAATTAGAGAAATTAAAAAATCGTAAAAGACATTTAAATTAACATGTAACATTTTACTCCATCTAAATATATTAAAATATTTAATATTTAATATTTAATATTTAATATTAGTGACATTTTGTCGATATTTTTTATATTTTATCAATTTTTTGTAATATAATAAAAATATGGATTTATCTTTTCATATCGAATTTATAGTTACGTAAGAATGTCGAGATCAAAAATATTTAATATCATACAAAAATATTAAAGATGGAGTAAGAAGGAAGGGAGGGGCCCCAAAACAAAGGAATATGGAGAAAAGGAAAATAAAACAGTGGAAATGTGGCGACAAGAATGGGTATGATGGCGATGTTGATGCCTCTCACAGTCAGTCTTTTTACTCTTTAGCGTTCTGCCCATCTGAACAAAAGTTAAATTAAGACAGTTAGTACATATTATTCTTATATTTCCTCCTTACATTTTAAATATCAATTTAGTATATTTTATTTTGATTTATTTTTTTCAGTATAACGTCTGGAGCGAGGGATCGAACTCACGATCTCTTTTGATTAGAGATATATGTTAATTACTGCTTGTTTAACACTTTGGTTTAAATGCAAAACAAATTTAACTCAAAAAAACTACAGAGTATTAGCTCCTTGAATATCTACTTCGGATAATTTTTTCTTTTACTTTTGAGTATAAAAGCAAAACTGTCGAGGTTGCCTTGCATGTGTGAAAATCATCCTTCCCTAAGAGGTAACAATATACCCTTTTTTTTTCCTTTAATTTTTTTATTAACATTTTCTAAACTATCAAATTAAATTATGCTCAAACAAGATACTATTTTATCAATCTTTCACACTCCAATAAATTTTGTGTCTATATATGTAAAGTTAAGTCCTATAATGAATTCATCTATCATCTATCGTGTTTAGTAACCATATGTTGAAATCGGACGTCCATGAACATGCTCCTATTAATAAGTCAGAAGAAGGTGAGGATGAAGTGGTGTGATAATATCCCTCATGTTGTAGATGACACGTGTGCTACAATAATTGGGACAAGTGGTCATGATTTTGCAAGAGTGAACTAACTCCAAAATCTGTCATAAGTTCATATGGTAAACTACAACCCACATGCATGAAGTTAGAATCATTAACAATAGACAATAACCATGAATTTTATCTCGAATCTTGGAGGGAGATATTAAAGGTAAGACTAATATATAACCGAAATAAGTTCGTAACAAGATTGTAATACTGGAAAAGTACAATTTGATCCTCTCCTTTTTTAACTAACTTAATTTAACACATGCTTTTTATATATATACAATGAATAAACTCCTTATTTAGCAGATCAAAGCAATGTAGGTGTTTGAATGGTCAAAAGTACACTTTTTTTAAGGAAAATTTATGACAATGATTTTATTGAGTCCCCCACTATTAAATGAAACCACCTCTTTGGCCGATGAAAAGAGAGAGGCGAAGCAAACTATGGTTTTAATACTCCCTATCAACATTACCTTTTCAAATATATTTTTTTTTTCGAAGAAAACTTTTTTCAAATACATTATTATTAGTGTATGTGCCTTTATCATATGTTGGGAGAAGAAACAGATTCATATAAATAATAGATATGAACAAATGTGACAAATTGGTATATACATTATATTTGATTTAACTTTTATATTTGTGTCTAATAGATTTTTGAATTTTTTATTTTATGTCTATTTAAGTTTCTAACCTTTCAACTATACATCTAATTGGATCAGAAACTTCCAGTTTCGTGTATAATAAAACTCATGAATCTATTAGACAAAAAATTAAAAGAGTAAGATTATACTAGATACAAAATTCAATTATATATTTAATAAATCTTTTAATTAAAAATTATTGAATAAAGAAAGAATATATTAAACATAAAGTTAATAGTTTATCCATGAAATAGACAAAGTTTAGGTACTTATTATTATATGATGTAGAGTTCATGCATACAGGAAAAAAAAGGTGAATAGTAAAGTTGTTCGAAATACACTTTTTTTCTTTTTTTTTGGGGGGAAAAATCTACCAAAGGCCATTTCCTAATTAATTTTGTTAAACAGGAAAAAAAACTATGAATTAAATATATACATATACAATGTTTTGAAATTGTCAAATTTTCCTTTAATAGCACTATTGAAATTGAACAAAGGATTCCTTTAAAAAAATTTGAATAAAAGCATGATGATGTGACGCATTTGAGAATATAATTTTTCACAAGCTGACATTTTTTTTCAAAGTTTAAAATTTTATTTATTATATTTTGCCCGAAAATTATAACCGGTCGGATCTAATTAATTGATTATTTCATATTGTACAAAAAAACAATACTTGATTATTTAAAACTAGAAAAAGATCAACTCATAAAATCATTATTGATTTATTCAATTTAAACAACATTATTGAACGATAAAGACTCAATATAAAAACGAAAAATCACAAATTTAAGAAATTTAAGGACTTAATTGGCAAAGGATATACCCGTTTCAACCCAAATGTAAATTTACAAAATAAATAAAAACACTTAAATACTATAACTTGTGAAATTTGATTGAAGAAAAAAAATCCATTTTACAGATAGAAAGTGTAGAATTAGAACTTGTTAGTACAGTAATTTGGTAGGCAGCCCATCCAAGTTATACTCCGGTTGGGAAAACGAAAGGCCGGATGAAATTTCTTCTTTTTCTTTGTACATAATTTGTAATGTAATTTAATTTGTCTCTAAACTCTAAAGATTTATTTTTTCCCTCGAACAATGATTTGGGAGATCACGTTTTCTACTTTTCCTCTTGAGCGAAAAAATTGAAAAAGAAGCTCAATGATACTCTGCATTTATGCAGGCTAAAAATTGTCTCCCCAAATCTTTCCTCGTCTTTTTCCTCTCTGCTGCTCTGTTCTAGTCTGCACAGCGTCACTGACACCCAACAAAGCCGCTGAAAGAGGGGACACCCCCCACAGTTTCTTCTACTTATCACTCGATTAATCAACAAAAAAAAAAGAGAAAAGAAAAATCGACCCAATTTCCCAAAATCCATTTGTTTACTCTTTCGCTCGATGGGAACTCGCTGCGGCCATTAATGGTTTCTCCCTCACAGACCCATTTCATGAGGATTCTCTCTCTGGGTCTTTCCAATGACGACAATAGACAACTCCCACGTCATCGCTGTGGAAGAAGAGGAAGAGGGGCCTCGCCGGGCTTCCACCACCGGCGCTGACGTCTCACCGCGGCGGCGCGGGGCTGAGATTGAGGCCGAGAAAAGAAGGGGATCCTCTGTTTCGGAGTGCTCTGTGGAGATGGATCTGGAATGTGGGTTGGCTGAGATTAAGGTACATTTGGCCAAAATCGAGAGGGATTGCCGGATTTGCCATCTGAGTTTGGATTCTTCCAATCACGAATCTGGAATCCCTATCGAGCTGGGTTGTTCCTGTAAGGACGATTTGGCTGCTGCCCATAAGCACTGTGCTGAGGCTTGGTTCAAGATTAAGGGCGACATGTAAGTTCCCAAATTAGAACTCCTGATTTTTTGCCTAAATTTGTTCGTTTCAAGTGTTTAGGATTATATTTCAGCATTGGATATAATGAGCTGTATGATACACATGGCTGGAATCTGGACTAAGATCCTTGATTATCATGATTAGAACTTACAGTTCAAATTTCCCAATTCCCATTTGTGCTTTAGTTTTTATTTTTGTATTATTTTCTCTTGTTTCTGACTACTCTAGAAGGTTCTTTTCTTACTTAAAAGTTGTGGACCTGTGGTTGACTGGTATTGTTCTTAGAATCTTAGTCATGTTCCGGTATTTGGGTTGTGGCTGTCTTTTGTTTCGTGTCAAAATAGACATGCATTGACTAAATTTGACTAATTCCTGGTCTCTTCTGTCTGCAAAAACATTTTAGTCCCCAATGCTATAGATTAGATATCTGATTATTTAGTAATCTGGATTTCCATAAATAGTTAGGCACATTGTCAATTCTTCAGCTTTTTAGGATCCATGATTTTATTTCCTGTTAAGGAACAAGGCCAAAATGAAATGTGCTTCTTTGTCAAAACAAGGAGATGTTGGTGGACGATATGGGACTGAGATGTGATTTAGTTGAGGAGACTGCAGCTCCCAGCCTGGGTGTGTTTCTTGCAGAAGAACTCTCCGTTCGATTCTGAAGAAACGCTAGGTTTTTCATAGAAGTGTTGTTGCTTTCTTTAATCTTATGTACATTATTGATTGGAGCCCATTTTTTTTAGCCGAGTTCAAATGTTTGAATATTCTTTGTTCGACATGTTCTGTCCTTTTTTTTATGGTCAATTGCGTTTGTTTTGAGTTTCAAATAGCTTTCTTTGAGGTTTTATTGATATAGCGACACTGACGAGTCCATAAATCCTATGATCGGCATATCTATTGATATTGAGATGCTACCCTTAGTTAAAAATGCATTGTACTTATATGGGACAAAGTTAGAGCTTCAGTTTGAGGTAGTTTGTAATTCATTTTCCTCTCTCTAGTCATCATCCAAGAACATGAAGCTAGTTTTTTGAAAAAAATTCACGCTAACTAACATGTATCTCCTTTGAAACTCGGAATCGTGTTTACCTTTATAGATACTATATTTGATCAAGATTATTTTCTCATTCCTTCTACTGCATCCTTAATCAGTATTGGCCGTCTAAAACCACTGATGAAGCTTATTATTTTGGATACAGATCAATGTTCAAAAGGGCTCCAATCCGAAGAACTATCTTCATCATGTATTTTGCATAAAGTTGGAAAGATTTTTCTGTTTTCCAATCAAACCATTAAGAATCTACAAGCATATCAAAACAATTGATTTGTTAATATAGTTAGATCTGTTCATCAGAACTTTATTACTTTTGACACGGTTAGCAACCATGTGGAGTTTTCCCTAGGCAAAATTTTAATTACTGGAGAGTGATCTGTATCTAGAAACTTGCTAGTTATTCATGTTGTTCTTCTAGCTATGACTGTAGAGTTTGGGTTGATTTGAGATTTGTATTTTCTGGAAGAAGATGAAGAAAAGAAGTAGATTCTTTTATGCCTCTGCTTCCACTGATCCATATCCAATTTGTTACAGCACCTGTGAAATCTGTGGATCAATTGCACACAATGTTACTAGTACTCAAGAAGCCGATTCAACAGAGCAGCGGAATGACTCAACTGATGCAACGACAGCGACTGCTGCAGCTGCTGTTGTGGTACCACCGCACTCTACAGAATCTCGGAACTTCTGGCAGGGCCACAGGTTCCTGAACTTCTTACTCGCCTGCATGGTTTTCGCCTTCGTCATATCATGGCTATTTCACTTCAAAATACCCTCATAATAATGGAAAACTACACCTGAAAGTAGCATCAAAAGATCGTCGAAAGCCACTCCAATGGCATCGCTGAGACAAACTCGAAATATCGACCGTATTGAATCGTTGCTGGCTCGTGGGATCATGATCCATATACCGATATTCTGTTAATATATATATATATATATATATTAGTGTTAGAGAACCTTGGAAGAGTGGCTTGGAGTTGGAGAAGTACAATGTAATATGTCTGTAAGTTTGTTTTGATTTGTGTTATTGGGATTTGTGTTGTTAAAGCGTATTGAAAATTGAAAAGTTTGGATTGTTGGGCGATGAATTTCACAAATCAGTAGAAGAAAGAATCGGATTGGCGATTTCTTGTATATTTTGTGGTTTTATGCCGTTCTCTTGTCGTCTCGTTGTGGATGACTCTCTGTTGAGATTCCGACATGTAGTTTCTTCCACTACTTCCGTTCCGTAAAGTTGCTTTCAACAGACAAACTCAAATTAATTTAAATTTAAATGTCTTTTTAAAATATAAAAAAAATTATATAAATATTTCGCACGTAAAGGTCAAAGCCATCCTTCACATTTTAAGGTTCACTCAGTTGTTATGTTTCTGGTTTGTTTCATGTACCATATTCTTTCAAAGCATTTTCTATTTTTAGTTTCTTTTTTTTTTCCCTCTTTTGTTTTTCCAAATACCCAAAATAATATTTTAAAAAATTGGAACAAAATAGTTTGCGTCCCTTTAATAATGATTTTGTACTTTGTTTTCCATTTTTTTTTTATAATTAAGCTTATGAAGCTTACTTTCGAGAAATTGTGAGCTTGAATTATTGTAAATTGATGTGTTTGATAATATTCTAAATAATAATATAATACGCGTTGATAAAAAAAAGTGCAAATTATAATATAACATGTATTGATTAAAAAAAATGTGCAAATTATAAGGTGTGAAAGTTTTTGTTTCTTTTTTTTTTCTCCAAGATGTGACTAAAAGATTCTAGTATCATGGTCTATTATTGAGAATAATAATTTCATACCTTCTTTTACATTATTTGTAGTTGTTTTGAATTATTTTGTTTTATTATTTAATGTGTAATCTATGCATGGATGGTACGAGAAGAAATAAGTTAGAAACAATTTTCGATAAGACTTGTGAAAATTACTATATAATTTAAAAAGTAAGTTATATAAATCTAAAATTATGTAGCTAGTAGAATTAAGTTCAAGATAAGTAATCTAACCTATATAAACTCCATTTCTTTTTAACTCTAAATTACATAAATTTTGTAATTTAATAGATCCGTGGACCAACTAATATTAGACTAAGACTCAGACCTTATGTTTAGTGATAAAAGGAAGGAAGGATTAAACCTAGCTAGAAAGAAAATGACCATGTAACATAAAAGCTTTCTTTTAAGAAATCCTATATATGCACCAAAAATTTCCACCAAAGTACATCATTATATGAGGCGTGTGAAGAAGTTTTATTATTTTAAGAGTAAAGATTAGTGTTTTTAGGAAAACGACACAACTTGAATGTGAAACAATGTGAATCAACAACAATTTTAGCATTCACTAATATCAAAGACTAGTAGTTCCTTCAAAATATAGATATATATATCAAAGACTAGTAGAGTTGATATATTAAAATACAATAACAAAAGTTCAATCTTTTTAAATAAATGAATAAAATTGATACTCATGTTAAAAAAAAGTGTAAATATGTTTGAGAGTGCTTTTGAACCTTTTTCCGTGCTAAAAACACTTCTCTAGTTAAAACTATCACGTTTAAAAGTAGTTTATAAATACTTTATAAAAAGTTTAAAAAATATATATTAAAAGGCGGTTTATAAGAAGACACTTGTAACTGTTTTTGATTAAGTGAAAGTTAATATGAACATAATTCAACTAATTAAAATATGTTTTCTCGACTAGAAGATCTTGAGTTTGAATTTCTACCTCAACATGTTGTTAAAAAAATATTCAATTGGAGCAAAGAGAGAATCATATATGCGTGACACTTTTTACATAGTGAATTTTTCTTTTTTCCTGTAGGACGTACATTTTTATTTTTCGGGTTTAGACTTTTCCTTGAGGTATTTTTTTTTTCCAAGAAAAAGAATTTTTTGGAGGGTGTTTGTGGTATTTGCCAGATTGGCTGAATTATAAGTGGTAGCATTGGTTGCTGCAACGAACATGCCGTGATTGGTGCTCACTGTGCTAATACTGTTATGTCCCTCTCTGTTACAGACAACCCTTCTGCTACTTTATTATTTATTTATTTTTTCAAGGTTTTTGTTCATATTTTCTTTGTACTAATTATACATGAATATATATAATACACATAACTTAATAATTTTAGAATTTCCCTTTTTAATTTTTAGTTTTTTCCCCCTAAATTTTCATTTGGTAGATTTTCTTTCTCTATCCTAGTAAGTGGTTGGTCACTCATTTCAGAGACCCAGCCAGAAGAAAATTTTAGATTAATAAATGGGGAGGTTTTAAAAATAATATTATAGGAAATAATGAATCGTCTGATAAAATAATATTATAGCAGCATGAGACAGAGCTAATAAAATAAATAATGTACACACTTTTTATAATGTGTATTTAATAATGGTGACTTTATATTTGTAAATTCGGATGACTATTATCATATATTTATAATTTTATTTCATTTTTCCTGGAAAGTATCCTATGTTTATAATTAACCTATTAGTTCAATAGAAAAACTAAAATATTAACCGAGATAGCAAATATGTAGTTACAAAAATAAACCGATCTAAAAATGGAACCCCCACCCCCATATGTTGTATAAAAAAAAGATCTAAAAATGGAAAATAATTTGATCAACTAGTGCGCTGTCTCAATAGAAGAAAAATCAAATTAAGCATTTTCATGTTGTTGCTATTAGTGATTTTGGACACCCAAAATTGGTAGATGATATTCAACTTTATAACAAAAAAGGACGTATCATAAAAAAAAAAATTAATACCAACATCAATAATACTATAGTTTGAACGTTAAATTTAAATTGTCAAAATGAACATAGCTTAACGATAACTGACATATATATCAAACTAAGAGGTTATGAGTTAGATATCTCACTTTCACCTGTTGTACTAAAAAAACGTTAAGGTTAAATTGAAATTAAATCTAAAAGTAATTATAAGAATCGAATTGCTAGTAAAGAAAAAAAATATTATCAAACAAATCTTAATTTGTGGACTTAACCAGTCAAATTATCATATAACAATCGTGAAAAATCTAATAAACACTTTTTTTAGTACAACGAGGTGTGAGATCGAACTCATAACCTCTTATTGAAATATATGTCAATTAACGTTGAACTATGCTCGCWTTTCACCATTTAATAAACACTTGAAAAAGAAGGAGAAATGAAAACTTCTAAACTTCGAATATGTAGTATATAATCATTACTAGAAAAAGAAGGTGAACTTTATGATAACTACATTTAACATTTTAACCTGAAAAATGAAACAATTAAAAAAAAATATATTCCACAAAGAACAGAGAGCATGCGACACCTCACACCATACCTTATAAATAAAAGGCTAAAAATTAAAGTATAGTCCAAAAAGCATCTGCCCTGCGTATCAGATTTTCCATACATGAGAACGTGCACACCATTATTGATACCATAAATAATTTATGCTATGATATGATTTTCGAATTCTCCGAATATATACCATAGTTTTTGTCTCTTAACTAGTCCTCACATTAAACTATGTTTTATAAACATGAATTTAGAGAGAGAAAATATTATCCAAACCGAAATTTAATGATAATTTTAGATTACGGTTGTGTTTCTAACCACTAACCACCCTGCATTCCCTAAACTCAAATCTAAATGTCGGCCGCTTGCTGCGGCATCGGGGGTGCAGCGACCGCCGACATGTCGGATGGGGTTAAAGATTCAAAGGGGATGTATGTTCTTATAAATCTTATCCACTTTAATTTTCATTTTTATATTTCCTTTAATGTGCAATACTAGTTGTGAAAATAGGCAAAGTGTCATTGCTTTGTATTTGAAGTTATTTTTATTTATATATATATGTTAAAGTAAGAGTGGGATAGAAGGAATTGAATTTAGAATTGAAAATTTTAAAATAACTAAACTTTGTTTTATACATAATGCTTGACTCATCTTTTTTGTTAATGAATTTATTAGGCTTATTTATGACCATGAGTTGCCTAATTCGGATACAAGAAAAAAAAAGTAAACAAATGCATAACGATTTGGGCACTGTCTCGGAGAGACTCGTTGAAATAAACATGTCTATGAAAATGTGAACTACCTGCACCTTGACAGAAAGATCCCATGAAGATTCACTGTTTCCTGGGAAGTCTAACTTTATGTCAGGACCTATAGGTCAAGGAAGTTTATTGACATCTAAATATTACAACGTCAAACTTTAAATATATATTGATATTTTAAATAGTGTAAGTTCTCGATGATTATCACAATTTACTTTAATTTTAAAAAATTATCCAAAAAAGTTGTTTTTAAAGTTGAGGGTATACCACAAATAATTTTGAAATATTAATGTCTCACACGGTTTTTGTATTAGAAAAAGAAAATTCTGTTTTAGAAAGCCAAATACAAAATATTTAAATGACATGCCCTAAAAGACAATAACAGATCAATCTTCCTTCCTTAAATAACAATGGGTTTTTCATTTTCGTTATGCTAAAAAGAAAATCGTATAAATGCACTTAATTAAGTTATCAATTTTAGGTATAATTAATTTTCTACCAAAAGCAGGTGAGATTTTGACCAGTTTTAGTTTGAGGGAAATTTAGATTTAATCTCGAATTGGAAGAAAAAAATGAGAGTAATAATAGAAATCCTTTTAAGTTTTAACTAATTCCACTTCTACCAAAAAATATACGCCGACATAAAAACTAATATTTATGGTATATAACTGAGAATAATTATCTTCATAATTGGTATGAGATTTTTTGGGTGAACTCAAAAGTAAAGTCGTGTTATGTTCAAAACAGATAATTTCATACTATTGTAGAGATACTTGGAATACGAAAGAACTGTTATCCAGAAAAGGAGGAAAAGAGACTGAAAACTATTTATTACRTAACATTATCCTAAGAAGAAAAACAAACCCATAAAAATTCAACAGACGAAAAGATTATGCAATTTGAAAACAAGAAAAAAAAAAGGTCAATACAGCAGTTGAAAAAAAGAAACTACAATAGAGGGAGGAAGAGGAAGCCAGCCAGTTGATGTTGGAAAAAAGTGGCCCTATGGCTATGGTTGGGTTGAAAAGGAAGTAACTTGAGAAACATTACACTTACAAAACAAACTAATCAAAATAATAAATGAATAATGAACAATAATTCCCAAAGAAAGCCATCCATCGCCATCCCCCAATTTGAATACTAAATTAAAATTAATTACCACCAAATTAAGTTTCCAGAGAGAGAGAGAGAGCGTGCAAACACGACATCTACTTAGCGGACCACGTTACATTGAGGGGCCATGGTCGGTTGGTATTGCATTTCCATTCTTCCTTTTCTTCTCATCTTTCTCCTCTCTTTCACTTGATCATCACATATATTCATAATCCTCTCTCTGATCACTGATCTGATCTCTCTCACTGAAAAAATCATTTCTTTGATCTGATGAGGAAGCTTTGTCCGAATTTCGACCGAGAAGACGGTCTCGACACTGTCCTTGAGGTTCCCATTCCTGAGGAGATGTTCTCTTGCAACACTAACAAAACCCACGCGATTTCATGGCAAGCTATGAAATCGTGGGTGAAGTCCCATAATGATCATAAATCGCACGTGAATTCCATGGCTGCACTTTTCGGCGGCCGGAACGCCGAGATCCAGCTCCTCCTCGGCGTCGTCGGAGCTCCTTTAATCCCTATCCCTGTCCCTTTCGATCACCGACCCATTACCCGCAACATCAAAGACAACCCCATTGTAAAAAGATCTCAACTTTAATCGTTTTTTCTTTTTTTTTTTTCTCTTTTAAAATTCGTGAGAATTAATTATGGGTTTTTTTTTTTAATAGGAGGCGTCGATGGCGAAGTATATAGTGCAGCAATATGTGGCGGCGGTGGGAGGAGAGCATGCGTTGAACTCGATTGAGAGTATGTATGCGATGGGGAAGGTGAAGATGGTGGCGTCGGAATTCTCGTCCGGCGAGGGGAGTTTGAACGGAAAGGTGTTAAAGGCGAAGAACGGGAAAGGCGGCGGCGGCGGAGAGATGGGTGGGTTTGTGGTGTGGCAGAAACGGCCGGAGTTATGGTGCTTGGAACTGATGCTGTCCGGTTGTAAAATCAGCGCCGGCAGCGATGGGAAAGTGGCTTGGAGACAAACTCCATGGCATCATTCTCATGCTTCTCGTGGCCCTCCTCGTCCCCTCCGACGCTTCTTGCAGGTAACTCGCCGGAATTTTTACACCCTTAACAACAAAATTTCAGGATTTTTCATAATTTCGAGATAAATCACTAGCTATCTTTTAGTTCTTGTTAATTAATAAATCATGTTATATTAGTAATATTTTAAGTGTTTACATGAATAAAATAAAATAACAAGCTGTTAATTAATTTTTTAACTGACCCACCCTAAACTGTTTGATAATTATGAGATAAATGAAAATCAATTTTTTTTTTTTATAACGAGTTATCAAATTTTCCAGTGTAAGGACAATATTAACTAAAAATACACTTATGTTATATTGGATTTTGAAAAATATATATTAAATTTATGTTTGAATAATATCTCTTGTATTCCAAGTTTAGAAAAATAAAATAAGATAATTTTTGTAATCAAACTGAGGGTCAATTCATTGAGTTTCAAAATTCCAACATTTGTGTGTTTTGGGCGCTGATTTTATTATTATTATCATGGTTTTGAAATTGTAGTGTGAATGATCTGTGCCCAAGATTTTAAAGGTGTGAAATAATGATTCGATTGAGAGGATGAGGATAAAATCAACAGAATTTTCAATGCACCTAATCTTATTCTAAAGTTATTAGAATAATAGTGCATTTGGTGGGAACCACCTGAACGTGGAGGCTACCATGGTTGAAACATAATTCATAAACCACTTTTTCTTGCTCTTTAGCCATATAAAATTTTTTCCATTTTCTGAAATATATTTTGAAAAGTCCATTTCAAGTAAAGTTGTTTAGACAGCGGTGAATCCCAAATACGATGAGAAATTGGAGTAAGCCCAAAGATATATTTGGGCCCAAATAACCCAAATATATCAAATGGGCTTTCCAGGTTCAGGACCCACTTATGACTTAAAATAATTTTGATGAAAATTACTAAAATACCTGGTGATTTTTTGACAGGGGCTTGATCCGAAATCGACGGCGACTCTGTTTTCGAATTCCAGCTGCATGGGCGAGAAAACAATCAACGATGAAGATTGTTTCATCCTAAAACTGGAAGCGGAATCAACGGTGCTGAGAGCGAGAAGCAGTAGTAGCGTGGAGATCATCCGCCACACGGTTTGGGGATACTTCAGCCAGAGAACCGGCCTCCTGGTCCAGCTCGAAGACTCGCATCTCCTCCGAATCAAGGCCGGTGGATCCCGAAACGACAGTATTTTCTGGGAAACGACAATGGAAACCCTAATTCAAGACTACAGAACGATCGACGGCGTCAATATCGCACACGCCGGGAAAACGTCCGTTTCGCTCTTTCGATTCGGCGAGAGCGCTGAAGGCCATTCGAGAACGAAAATGGAAGAGATTTGGGAGATCGAAGAAGTGGATTTCAATATCAAGGGTTTGTCGATGGACTTCTTTTTGCCTCCTAGCGATCTGAAGAAGGAGGAAGAAGGAGTCGCCGTGATTACGAGTAACGGAAAGTTTCCGTTGACGATGCGATGTACGGCTGCTGCTTCGAAGATTTGTTCGTCGCGAGTGGCGGCCATTGATGTTGATGAAATATCGGAGGGGAGCAGCAACCAGAGTGATGAAGATGAAGATGAAGATTCGTGAAGAGAACATTTGAAATCAATTTTTGCAACTCTGTACATAATCCATGGCTGATACATATATATGAAGCATGGACCTTTTACTAATTACAAACGCCAGTATTTTGGTTTTTGTTTTTCAAGATCGTAACTGTACTCTGTATCATACAATTCTCGCCGACTCGAAGTCTGGTGGAAGAAATTACAATGTATTCAAATCACAACTCAAGGGTTTGTTTGGGAGGGTTAGATTTTGTAATTTAAAAAAATATATATTTAATTATAAGTGATTTTGTAAAATTATTATTCAAATGATATCTTAAAAATATTTTAAAATTAATTTTTTAATTTGTGAAACGTGATTAATTGGAAAACACTTGATTTTAACATAAGAATTGAGGAAAAAACATTTACAAGCCATAACTA